ATATGGTAGTTATTGCTTCCTCTTTTAAAGATGATTGGAGTGTTTTAGTGGTTCTCTTCAACTAATTCCCAAGTTATTCCAGTTTAAAATTCTTTCCAAATGGAGTAATTTTATATAACTGAACATATGCCATTCAAAACCCCAACCAAACCCTCTGCCATTGAGTAAATTCCCACTCAGAGCAACCCTGTATAGAGTTTCTAAGGCTGTAGATCTTTAAAGGAGCAGAAAGCCTCATCTTTCTTACACGGAGAGACTGGTGGGTTTGAGTTGCTAACCTTCTGGTCAGCAGTCCAGTGCTTTTCCTACAGTGCCTCCAGGACTCCTGAATATACCCCATATGGTTAAAATAATGAAAAGGCAGAAGTGGTACACAGACTCATAACAATTTATAATACAGATTATAAAAATGCTAAGTTATATATAACATGATACTTAAATTCTAAAGCATCACACTTTTAGTACATTGATTTTTAGCTTTTAGTAAACCATAGGATATTAAGTTTGAGTACATATTCACAAAGGAAATCAGGTTATTACAACAACTAATGTTCTAAAATTGCCATGTATGCTGAGAAAATGAAAAATACTGTAGTTGAATTTTTTATTATTAAGTATGGAGATGAAAATTAGAAAATGTTGGCCTCTATGCAAAAAAGTGGCTTGTCCAATATAAACTTGGTAATTTTCATATAAATTAGTAGGAATTTTGCTGTGGCGCTGTAGGATAAGCACCAGCGGCTCCTCAGAAACCCTACACAGGGTTGCTGTGAGTAGGAATCAACTCAAAGATACTTAACAACAACACAGAAATGAATAACTTCCTTTTTAATAATAGCTTCCTATACAAAGAGCTGGGGTGGGGGGGTGCATATGAATGAACTCATCTACGTCTTTCTACAACTATTATTGGATTTAATCTTTGTGAAGCTGGACCTATATTTCAGTGTTAACATGTAACAGATATTGGCAGAAAGAACAATTAAGGATAAGGGAGCTGTGAGAGCAACTTCTAAATACAAAGAACTGTCCTCTAACTCCTACTCCCTCATACCTGCACATTTGTTTCAAATAATCACCTAAAGAAAACTTGAGCGTAAGGTACACTCAGATGTTTGTGGGTTTTTTTTAAAGGTTTTATTTTGAATTATATGATAGTTTACAAGAGAGAACTTTAGTTTTACATTCATTCCATCATATATCATTTCATTGCCATGGTTCCAATCCCCTCCATACATCATCAACTAACCAAAGGGTATATCCTAGAAACCCACCCCCAACACTTTCCC